TTCAGATGATCAACATCCTTACATGATTAGCTATAATGGTCAAATAAATTGGACTCCTGCATCCGTCTTTACATTTTATTGTCAGTTAGATATGACTTATTTTCCATTCGATTCCCAAACCTGCACTATATATATCATGGCTATAGATTACAGTATGCAACAACTCAACATATATTTTGAAGAGGGACCGAGATTTACAAGTAAGCAAGAAAACGGAGAATGGGATGTGATCGATTTAGAGTTACAAGAAACTCCACAGAAGGATCTCACAGAACGACCTGAACATAAAGTTCTATTAAAGTTAAAGCGCAGATCAGCTTTTATTCTCTTGAATGTATATTTGCCAGTAATAGTCCTCTCTTTTTTAAATCTGGCAGTATTTGTAGTGCCCGCGGAGTCTGGTGAGAAATTGAGCTATGTTTTAACAGTACTATTGTCCTTAGCTGTATTTATTAGTGTCGTGAGTGGTATGTTACCTACAACATCTACTAATATACCAATAATTACCATCTACTTATCACTGCAGCTTCTAATAAATACCGTATCGGTACTTTTAACAGTATACGTCATCAGAATACATCATAGATCTGCAGACAAACCGATTCCATCACACCTGCAATTCCTGACACGAATCATGAAGAAGTCAGCCAGTAATAAAATTGATCTTGGTAGTTCTGACGACAGGATCAAAAATTGGAATATCGTGGCATTATCAGTTGATAAGTTGTGTTTATACATTTTTACAACCATTGTACTTTCTTCATGTTGTGCGTTGCTATTTATCATAGCAAAAGACGAATATTAGCAATTTAGCAAATATTCAACAGCTTAAGATCAAAGAATGTTGTCCAGTAAAATATCAAACTATATGCAGTTACATATACATGAACATCGTTTCATGTTGCTATTACGGCAGAGTACATCGTATTTTCCGTGTTTTTTTTGTTGTTGTATATTTTGACATTTCTGGAAAATCGTGGATTTTGTCTTATTGTATTGGATATACCATCCAAGACCCCAGAATAAGAAGAGAACAATCGTCGTGAAAGATATTGGCCAGATCACAAAGCAGCTGGTATTTGAAACTCCCATTATCGTATCGCTTTGTATAAGCGTAGAGATTATGGATTTCAGCTTTTTGTTGCATATGAACTGTAACTTACGTTCTCTTATCAAGTGTCTTTTTGTCAATTTTGTAATGTGTTCTGATAATCTTTTTGATCTGTCTTGTTTGATCGTTAGTCCAGTCCATTTTATCATTTAATTTAGGGTGTTTGTTCCCAAGGGGGTAAGTTTGAAATAATTGGAGAGTAATAAAGCGGTGTACAGTCTAGTATACACTGTTTGACAATTATAATTGAAGCCGTTCTATCCAGTACGACTAATTTCTCTGACATGTAAAAGATTGCAGGGAAA